TTTTGTTGAAGAAAAAAAAATACATTACATCCGTAATGTTGTGACCAAAGCGGATATGAAATATCAAATAATCATTAACAGAGCACAATGAAAATATAATTAAGTGCAGGCCGCACATACCGGAAGAAGAAATTGTTCCCGGAGTCAGTTAATGCATTAACTTCTTTCGAAGAATTTTTTTTAAGAAAATTAAGTTAAAAAGAAAATTATAAAATTTCCATGAAAAGAAGAAGTAATGTTGTGTTTGACAAATGTTTTTTTTACATTTTTCTTCAACTTTAAAAAATAATATTTGAAGATAACTGATTAGTGTTTTGATTGTATGAGCAATCTTAAGGTTATTTTTGGATATGTCTTAAGAATATTTTAAGTTGAATGATGGAAAGGGAATAAAAGTGTATAAGAAAATATCTAAAAATGTAAAAAGTGTCACTTTGACTAAAAAAGTTTTTAAAATTAGATTTAAATTCTATTTAAAATTTATTATTTAATAAATCAATAACTTTTGAATCTCGTCAACAGATAAAATCGCTAAGTTTTAACTTTAATTTCAATCTGCTATATATCAAGTTAATGTTATAGTTTATCATGATTTCTATAAAAAATTCTCAAAACTATAATTCTTTCATTTAAATATCCCACTTAATAATGTGATGTAGTAATAATAATATAACGTCCAATAAGAAAGACTTCCTTAATCCATTAATCCAAGTCCATTTGTTGCATCTTCGTTTAATTGCTTATTATATATTTAATTTTTTCATGAACATTTTTTTATCTTCCTACTCTTCGTGTTTCTCAGCATATGAATACTTGGGGTCCAACCTCTTCTTAGCTATTTTCCACAGTTGATGTATGACATAAATACAGGTGCTACAGAATTATTTTTAAAAACCAAATCACTAAAAGGTTTACTAACTAAACAAGAGCATTGAGCTAAGATAACAGATCAATAGGCGGTCTAGAGTCTGACACAGATTCGCTTTTAAACCTCAATTGATTTGTTAATATTAAGTGTGATTTTAAAGTCAATTATGGCAAAAAAAAATAATTTCTTAATTAATTGATTTATATTTCAATATATTTGTATATATTATTTATTTATTTCTATTTGAGCCAGTGCACTTGAGCACTTTTACTCTTTCTTAATTCGAGGTATTTTTAAAACCCCTCTTTACGGCTTGACTGGATTATTGTTTATCACTTCATCAGACTAAGCAATAATTGACCTCAGATCTGCATACCTCCCCATTGGATAATTTCCATGTACCTCAATTAGGGATTTTTCACCGTTTTGCTACCACATTCCTGGCAAGAACCGTTAAGAATAGACTAAATCTATCCCGTTAGATAATTTATTAGATCTCTTGTCTTTACCGATGACTAATCTGATAAACTGTCAAAAAAGTTATTTCCTAAAAACCTGTTCTTTTCTACTAATTCTGCAGGGATTATTTCTGCAGAATTAGTAGAATTAGTTTCTCTGCTTGAGATCTTATAACGCAACTGCAGTAAGCCTTTTTTGGTGAGTTCCCAAGATCGAGTTATATTATATATATTATATATATTATATATATTATATATATTATATATATTATATATATTATATATATTATATATATATATATTATATATATATATTATATATATTATATATATTATATATATTACATATATTAATATATTACATAAATTATATATATTATATGATATATAACATATATATTATATATTATATGATATATTATAGTTAAGCAGTAAGACTTTTTTTGATGAGCTCCCAGGATCTAGTTATATTATAGGTGGTCCATGTTAATCTGGAAGTTGCACATGAGTTAGGTGCTTTCCATCTCTTATTGGCAAGCTGAATCACTCTTAAATAAAATCTAATTTATTAAAATTGTTTGTAAAGTGGTTTTTTCGAACAGTAGTGAACTACAACAATAAAATTTCTTTTTTATATTATTTTAATTAATTGAATTTTTGGCTGAACATACAGCTGTTTGGAAATAATTCTTGTATTTAATTATTCGTAAATAATTTTTTATTGAGACTACAAGTAACAGGAATCGAACTAGGTTCCTGCCAAATTTGAAGCTCAGAGACAGCGCACCTTAAAGTTTTTGTATCATTATAATAAAATATTTTTTAGTATGTTATATTTTAAAGATTATGCATGCAAATATTTTTTATTTTTTATTATAATTATGTGTTTAAACGAAAAATATTATAGCCTCATTTATATACGTATACAATTAATCGTATATTCGTATATACCTATACAGCTTATATGTACATATGTATATCATTTCCAAAATTATTCGTGTAATGTTAAGTAAATAAATTCGACAATTAACCCCTTCCAAAATATTTTATTGTTGTATAAAATGATAATTTTAGCTTTTAGCATTTCTAGTTGAAATGAAAAATTATACTAATTATTTACCATAATTCTGTAGCAGTTCCCTGAGCAAACAGTAGATGTAGAATTGTTTATTTATGGATGGTATATGCATATTTGTATCCTACGCACTACTTTTCATTATTACATTTGTTATTTATTTTCCTCTTCCACTGTTCCACTGCAAGTTCTACAAATCAATAAAATAAGTTGCTTTCAGAAAGACGAAATATGGTAAACGAGTATCGTACAATAAATGTTGTCGGTTGTGAAGATGTTTAATGTTTTGGTGGGGGTAACTCAGCTGACGCTCATGGAAACATGGCTGCTGTTTCGGTATGGCAAAGCACCTTTTCGTGTTTGTTTTTGTGTTTTTGTGTTTTTGTGTTTTTGTGTTTTATTTGATAATATCGGTCATGAGGGGCACTGCTACTCTCTACTCCCCACAGTAAAATGTTCAAAAATAAATGCTATCAAATTATTTTGCAGCTAACAGTATAACAACAGTACAACAGTACAACCGTACAAGAGTACGAGAGTACGCTGTGGTAGTTATGTTGATAACATATTTTGGGGGTGGTGGTTTGGAGGGTTGCTTTGGGGTGGTTTGTATATGTACTATATAAGCAAACACACGCGTATACATTCACATTAAGCATGTTAAGCTTTATGTGCGTACAAAATGGCAGCATTTTGTTCACTCCTTGTTTGAGAAAACATTCATTTGTTTATAGGTTTTGTATTTGTATGTATGTATGTGTGTGTATATGTGTGTATATGTAGTTATAAGCTAATTTACACTGTTAATGTTATTAAATTTGCTTTCGTAATGGAAGCTAAACAAAAACGCATTTATTTAAACGCACAAGTTAAATGTTTATATTTTTAGTTAAGCACACTTTGTTATTTTATCGTAATTGATATTACCTGTTGGATTTGCCGACTTAAAGTGTCTTTCAGTCAAACTTTAGTAGCAACTCTGGGCATTGTTGGTAACTAAACTTTTATCAGAGCAGCATATGCTGCTGAATGGTTTTTGCTGCTGTTGTTGTAATCCATTTAAAAGTAGGTCAATGGGTATTATGAAATCTGTGGAGTTTATTGATTATTTCTTTTTCATTGTTTTGTGAATGTAAAGTATCCATATGGATACTTTAGAAATATTTGACTTTCATATATGTTTTAACAATAGAAATCGTTATTTCATATAAGATATATATTACATATATTTACTTTTAGTTCAACTCCAAAATCAAATTTAGATAATCGTATTGAAAATTTTAAAACTTTTAATTTCTTCAATTTTGTTAAATTTTTGATTTTACTGATACTTCTACTTGTAGCAAAAATATCTAAGCACAACTAAACAAACAAGAGTTAATAAACCCTTTTGTCGTATCTCAAAATCGACCTAGTCTAAATTGAACAAGAAACGTACTAGTCAACTGCTTCAACTAAGCTGTAACCTGCTCCGCACTAAGGAGCCACTATCTTCTGCCTACTAGGAAGGTATTCTATGACATTAGGTCCACTTTATAATCACTTATGTCGGAGTTGTAACTCATGTGTGAGTGTTCATCATTGGTTAGGAGAAGATTTCAAATCTTTGGGACTCCTTTTAAATTGCACAAGAAACGTACCAGAAAGCTGCTTTAAACTAAGCTGTAATATATGCTATGAGATTAGGTCTACTCTATAATCACTTATGTCGGAGTTGTAACTCATGTGTCAATGTTTATCATTGGTTAGGAGAAGATTTCAAATCTTTGGGACTCCTTTTCTTACCGACTTGACACAACTTTCGTCCTGCGAAATTAGAGACTTCACTAAGTGTAGAGACTTTTTAGGTGGGTTATGTTAATATTTAAATAAGAGGTACTAAATGTGATTTTATTCGGTATTAAAAAGATAATCAGTGATAACATATAGGTATTATATTGAAATAAATAAACACTCAGTGAGTTCTATATTTAAATCATATTGAAAACATAAAATATGATATTAATATATATGGTATGTCTATAAATTAAATGACATCTGAAAATTATTAATTTAACAATTTAATTGAAAAATATAATTAGAAGGGTCAGCGTACGAACAATGCTGTAAGGTACGACTAAGGGAGTGTTGGTTTTCAGCCCCTCAAGACTCCACTTTCCAGGCTATATACATGAGTAGAGTTTAAGAGAAAGTTTTTGTAAACTGATCTCATGTTGTTGTTGCAATTTATATATCTGTATATACACCTTACTGGTTTTTGTGATTTTTTTTTTGATTTAAGAATAAAAAAAACAAAAACATTTAATTACTTTATAATAAAATATGTATGTATATATATCTCTCTCTCTCTCTTATCCTTATCTCCCATTGGAGCATAGGGTCTC